CAAGATGTTGTGGCCTTTAGTGTGGTCTCAGTCTCCTTTCGTTATATAGAAGTTGTTTGATCTTGTTTTCGCAACATGTTCATATTGCTTTGAAGATTTAGACGAACGCACCTAGTCCGGAGTCCATTGTCTGCATGATCATTTCCAAAGATCATGTATTACGTCCACGGTTCAACTTTGGAAGTGATCATGCAGACAATAGACTCCGGATTAGGTGCGTTCTTCTAACTCTTCCTACCAATATGACCATGTTGCGAAAAAAAAGTCAGACAACTTCTTTGCTATGCTTCCAGATAGGAAAGTAGTAATCTTACCAATAGTTTCGAAACTGGGAATGACTCTTCAAAGTCAGACTTTTAAAACTGGAGACAAATGCGATCCCATAGTTCTGTTTTGCTCGTACAGTTTAACATTAAAGAGAAAATATGTACTATTCACTATTAAGTTCGTCAATCTCATGATTAACTCTTTGCTCATCTTATTTCCTGTTAAAATCTTTGGGTGTTAATCTAAGATTAATCCTAATGTCTGTATGGCTCCACTTATCGGTACATTCGTGCACATCGATACTATACCAAAATCTACAAACCAATCTCCTTGTCCTACTATTTATTCATTTATTAACTTAATAAGGTCGTATGAATTCTTTATTAAAAATTTGCAAAAGTCTGAGATTTACTTTAATTGACTACAAATGAATCGTGATATTTTAAGCATCGCACCACCCTTATCGTTCACATTAACCCTAAGTGGGACCCCCTCTTTGTGGATTTTGGACAGATCACATGCATTAGGAGGTCTAGTGCCGTGTTGGAGAAGTGCATTCATTCTCCACCTCTCCAATTCTCCACTATTAACGCACTGTTGCAGGCAACTCTTAAGGCTCTACTTTAGTGTTTCAGTAGAGCCCTTAGTTATACTTATCAAATCAGCTAAAGCCAGCATCATCTTTTCCATATAATCTGCCCTAGCCATAACTACAACTGCTACTCCTTTGTCTACGCTCAAAACTATTCATTTGTGTTGCCTTAAATTCTTAATGATTTTATTAACCCACATATTATAATTTTGTGCTTCTACATGGTTAGCAATTAAAGGAACAACCTGTATTTCAGTCTCACTTCTTGTTTCTTCTTATAATCGGTCAGTAAAGTTAATAAACTCTATTAAAAACTCTTCAGTTTAACTCTTGATATTTGAAAAAGCATACTTAAGACTCCAAGCTAGAACTTCCTCGGTAGTACTGTCCAATGACATTTTGGTCAAGTTAACCACTTCCGACCAATTTTCATTCTCACTTCTCATCTTGGTTGAGTTAGGACCATTATTTAAATGTCTAATGATAATTCCTAAGTTCTTAAGCTTCTTATCAAAACTATTCATTACATGATTTTTCGCATTTAAGTATTGTTTCAAGACTACCAGTAAATCCGTAATATGAGATGTATTCCCCCAATTTCGTTTAAGGTAATGAAGGACTGGTAGAAGAATTTTCCCACAATGGTATGAGTAGAACTGACGTTTCCATTGAATTTCACATAGTCTTTTTTTCCAAAAAGTTGTTCTCATCCAGGCACTAGTGGACTGCAGTTTCCACCTCGCATCGGTCTTATCAACACCCCTAGCGGGAGTCGAACCGTGACAGTGCATAATGGGAGCTGAGTGGTTAACGTGTCAAGCTCCCATTCTACACTTTCACGGTTCGACTCCCGCTGGGGGTGCTGATAAGACCGATGCGAGGTGGAAATCGCAGTCCACTGGTGCCTGGATGAATAAAACTTTTGGGAAAGCAAGGCTATGTGAAATGGAATGGAAACGTCAGCTCTGCTCATGTCATTGTGGGAAAATTCTTTTACCAGTCCTTCATTACCTTAAACGAAATTGGGTGGCAGCCAACGATTGAAGCTTCATGAAATTCTCCGAAATAAGAGTATTGCACAAAGCTTGCCTGATAGTGTTGGTTCGATCTTGCTTTCGAAACTTGGTCGGAGCGCCAGGGAGACTTTGTGGAACATAACTAGTCCCGCGTCCTCTGCCATGGTATTCGTGATTTCCAACATTGGACCATTGGTTGGGTACATTCCCAAACGTTTCGCCGGCATCGCCAGTGAGAGGCGCCATCGAAGTCACTTTGATAAGTTGTAACTCTGTGGCCACGACGGCGCCTCCCTTTGA